AATCCCAAAGTCCAGAAAATGGTTCCGATGACTTCCGCGCTCCTCAAGGCTTGGCGATTAACCGGATCGGTGGAATGCAGGGTCGTAGTCGATGACTCCAAGGCACTGTTCCAATTCGAATCGGAATCGGATCTTCTCTGGGTGCTTGATCAGGAGCCGTGGTCGTTCAACGACTGGATGCTTGTGGTCGACAGGTTCGACCGACGGGACGAGCCTGATTACCTGCGGTTCATGAATTTCTGGGTTGAGATAGTCGGAATCCCTTGGAATTACAGAAACGACGCGGTGATCAAGAGGATTGGTTCTGTTGTAGGTGAGGTGTTGGAGATCCACGAGCAAGGACCTGGTGTGAGAGCGAGGATTCGAGTCGATGTAAACGAGGGCCTGGAATTTGAGAGGCGTGTTTTGTTTGAAAGAAGCGATGAAGATGTGGAGGTTAGGTTTGTGTATGAGAAGTTGAAGATGTTTTGTCAAACTTGTGGGAGCCTTGCTCACCACAAAGCTCGATGCCCAGACGAATGAGTCGAAAATTCGAAATGTGTTTGTGGGAGTTGGAATTTGTGTTCAAAGAACGGTAGGGTTTAAGGAGCCCGTAAGATCTCAGGAAGCAGTAAAAAGGAAGCTTTTTTGGGAAGAATTTATAAACTATTTGGAGTTTGCAGTAAGTCTAGAGAATGTCTTAAAAATTTCTTCGTCTTCATTGTAGGTAGCTAAGTACCACTATCTGCAACGACATATGTTTTTGGATGTTACAATTTGTAGAATGGCGTAATTTGGAACAAGACTGGGAAGGAGTATCTATGTGAAGTTCTCTTTACTTAATTCAGAATTCTTGCGAAACATGTATTTTTTTTTTTTGTTGACAATTTGAACATCTAACTCTAGAGGTCAAAAACGTCTTTGAGGATCCAAGCCCATGTCCATGTGTAAAAAATTGACGTTATGTTAGGCATAGCTTTATTCGTGTTTACTGGAAAAATACAGAGTGGGAGCAAGAGGTTGAAACCGTGTATGAGCATGAAACCATATATTCAATCGCAATTAGAAAGGCTCTAGAGTGGCAACGAAATAAATAAATTAGTGCTCATTAAGTATACGTGACATGTTACTTAATCCATGTCAAGTTGATAGAAAACATGACTGAGAAACGAAACCTTTGTTGTCGGTTACGATGTCTGTCCACTACATATCTCGATGTTACAGTGTTTTATAATGTCTTTTTGGCACACTCTCTCTTTCTAGAAACTGAGCCAAAAGAGAATCACTCGGTGCAAAAATGAAAACGTTTTCCAGAGCAACTTATGATCTCTCCCTCAATCTTATCCTCTCGATCAAACTTTTTAACCGGCTTGAACCATTAGTAATCCAGCTCTGAATTTAAGGAATCTTTGGTCAATCTCCTGAACTCAACCAACCTGAGAATTCATACTCAAACAATAACCGAAAACATACATATCATCACCATCAACTTTGAGTCTTAACGCAATGCAAACTCATAAGTGACTGATGATTAAAAAAAGAGAGAGTAATAATTGGCCAATAAGTGGCCAACTCAAACTCATAACCCAATAAGTGGCCAAAATAATACATTTTTTTTTTTAATTCTGACAGCAAGTAATAATTTGGTGTTATCGATAAACCGTAGTATAATAAACTTATGAACTACGGTGGCGCTGGCTGATGGGGTTTGATAAATACAGTTTGTGATGTGTTTTTGAGAAATACAATGGAGATAAGATTTTTCTCTTCTTCGCTTGGCAAAGATTTTACTTTCTTCTGTTTAAGGTCTTAGGCTACACATAGATCTATATATGGATGACAAGCTATCGAAAAAAGGAGATGAATACAGTACGTTTTAATCTGTTTTCGAAACAGAGGAAGAAGAAGGATCATACATACAAATTAAAACAGCTGATCTGAGTTTTGTTTGATGGTTTGATTAGGTAAATCAAGAAAAGATTCTCATTGATTTGTTTTTGGTTTTCTGTTTTTTAATAAAATAGGTTAATGTTTTCGATCTAATCAGGACACTTACATCGCATGAAGATTTGCAGAAATGTCTCGACGCCATCGAATGTCTCATGTGTCTTATCCAGTCATGATTACTCTCGAAGACATTTGCCACCCAATCTTCAAGGGCAAGTTACGAAGGTGAGATTTTCTTTTTGGTTTGACACAGGAGTTTTACTAATTTGTAAAAGAAGTAATTTATAATTTTAGTTGATCTTACGTTTGTAGATGTTAACTAAAAACATTATAAGGAATGATGCATTTTTGTCCCTCAGTATCTCTACTCAAGCCGCTTCATCTTCATTCGTCAATCGTCAAGGTCCCTTTCTCTTTCTCTTGCTTTTATCTTTTTAATTAGCTAATTCTCTCACACATATATGTGTTTACAAGGTGGTTGTCCCGCACCTTGTGCGGGTACAATATTTTTTAAATACAATTATTAATTAAATATTTAAATAATATAAGTAGTACAACTTTTTATTGTATTCATCTTTTTGTTTTCGCAAACTTCTTATTTTTGTAATCTTGAGGTGTCTTATTTTTATCTTCTCTTTCTTGTTCTTCTACGTAATATTCTTCATTTTTTTTAGATTTTTCTTCACATTCCATTATTTCTTCTTTCCTTTCTTTAAGGTAAGTACTTAAGATATAATATTAATGATTAAGCAAATATTATGGATATTAAAAAAAAAATCGTTATAAATTCGCCATTAGAATTAGGGTTTCATGAATATTAAGATGGTAATTAAAAGGATAGATGTTCATACCTTCTTTTGTTGGAGTTGAATATTTCTTGTTTGGGACCAAATCTGATCTTCTAGATTCCATTAGCTTGGAACTCACTGTTACAAAAGCGAGAGAAGAAGAAGTTAGAAGCGTATATGTAGATGAGTGACAGTAGATAACAAATAATCAGTTAATCACAGTAAATAGAACTTAAATCAAAGTAAAACAATAAAGATACATGAGTAAAAGAAATATGAGACCTAAGAAGTAAGATTACGTATAGAAAGAAGATATGCAAATCGTAATGAGAATTGGGTTGATTTTGCTTGTAGCTATCTTTGTAATGATTGTTGTTGGCATCAACTATGGATATAAAAAAATATATATATCGTTATAGATTGGCCATTAGAATTAGGGTTTCATGAATATTAAGATGGTAATTAAAAGGAAAGATGTTCATATCTTCCTTTGCTGGAGTTGAATATGTCTTGTTTGGGACCAAATCTGATCTTCTAGATTCCATTAACTTGGAACTCACTGTTACAAAAGTGAGGGAAGAAGAAGTTAGAAGCGTATATATAGATGATTGATAGTAGATAACATATAATCAGGTAATCATAATTTTGAAAAAGTAAAACAATAAAGATACACTAAACCCTAATTAGCTAAGAAGACGTAGACGTTGATTGCTTTAATCTTCACTTGTCTTGCCTTTGAATTGTTCTCTTCTTACTATAGCAAGCTTATCAGTTACATTGTTACTCGTTGATTCATGTGTTTGGTTAGGTCTTGATTAGGAAATTAAGGGGTTTACATAGCTGAACTGGCCTCTTATTCAAAGCTGAATTTTCCTTATTTCTGTAAACGCCCCGTAGTGTGACGGTTGCATGGCGTTCTGATATCTTGCGTATTTGACGCATTCTAACCCTTGTTTTCACGAGTTTTATCGAGTCTTTCTAGTCTTTATCGAGTCTTTTCAGGTCTAAAGACGTTCCAGGGAGAGCTTTGGTCACATGGACCAACAAGGGAGAAAGCAGGCAAAACGGAGCCCAAAGGAGCTCGATCGAGTCCCTACAATCGATCGACTCGTCTCAGAGATCGATCGACTCATCGATCACACACAAGCTCGATCGATCCCATGCAAGGAAAGCTCGATCGATCCCGCGTCCAGCTCGATCGATCGAACCCGTTCGTCTCAGCCGTTCGATCCGTCCCGTCAGATGATATCACAGCCGTTCGATCTACTTGGTGCAAACCGACTCGATCGAACCACAGCGAACCGGATTGAACCGAAGTCGACCCCGGAGCTATTTAGACCTATCTTTAGCCATTGTTTAGGCTACGCCGTTTTTCAGAGTTTTACACTGTTTCTGAGGGAGAAGAGATCGAACCTCTGTTTTTCACAGTTTGGAGAAGATTTCTGAACCCTATTTTCGATTCAATGACATTCATTCAGTTATTGTTTGCTGTTTCACCATGTCTGAGTAGTCACCCTGCTAGATCTAGGTTTTTCAAAGGGATTCATGTGTTAACTACTGAATACAGATAGGGCTTTAATACTGTCTTCGCCATTGTTGCATTACTGCTTAGATCGATCTGATCACTCGATCTCTGATCTCAGATTACCTGTTCATCAAAAGTGCAATAGGTTGTTAGAACGAACTGTGGTGAGCGAATCGTCCTTAGCCTGCGAAAGTTGATGCTAGGCGATTCGTGAACTTATCGAACCTGTGTATTGCTTGCTCAATTGCTAGATTCAAACGACAGTTTAGACATCTAGGTTGTTAGAAAAGTTGTTATTATCGCGAAAGTGAATTGACATATTGTTTTGTTTGAGTTCGAGACCTGTTCTTTATCTGTGCCCTGAATAGTTGTTTGGTCGTTAACCGTGAATCTCTGCGAATTGCCTTGGTCTAGTCCCTGTTTATTTGAATTACATCAACGTTTACATTCGTTACCTGTTACCAATCAATCTTTTGTCTTAGCTCTGTTTTGAATCTCCTAGTTTCACAGTGTAACGCTGGTCCTCTGGATTTCGAATCCTTTATATTACAATCTTCATCACTGATAATTTGCAGTAGAGAAAAGGACCTATTTCTAGTTTATCAAATTTGGCGCCGTTGCGACGGGGACCAATTCGTTACCTTTGATTCTTGATTTAAAATTTAGTCTAAGATTTACTAACTTGTTCTCTCTCGTTTTTCTTGTGTGTGTTTCAGGTGCATGATCACTAGATCTCGACGGAGCAACCGCAACGAAGAGCTTTTGATCCTGTCCAACGCAGAACTTGCAAGAGTAGAACGAGCAAACAGACAACGAAGGCCGAATCCAGCCGACATGGGCGATAACGGCAACCCGAACATGGCTGCTCAGTTGCAGCAGCTTCAGCAGCAGATCGAGCAGATGCGGAAGGCTCAACAAGATCGAGAACCGCAACCTCGTCCTGCTATTGGAGACAAGGACAATCCGCACACCTTCTATCAAAACCGGTCTGCGATTGTCCCTCCAAACGTCAGAGGCAAGACTTCGAGATCAAGCCCGGCATGATCGCTCTAGTCAAGGATCACATCTTCCATGGACTTCCTGCTGAGATTCCGCGGACCATATCCAGAACTTTGAGGAGATATGCAGCACGACTGGTTCGAATGGAGTACCGGCTGACTTTCTGAAGTGCAAGCTATTCCCGTTCTCACTTGCCAACAAAGCATCTCGCTGGCTGAAGTCATTACCACCTGGGTCTTTGACTTCATGGGACCAAGTTAGAGCAGCTTTCCTGGACCACTTCTACACGAAGTCCAAGAATGCAGCTCTAAGGACGAAGATCGCATCTTTCCAGCAGTATGATGGAGAAGCTTTCTGCGAAGCATGGGAGAGATACAAGGAGTGCCGAAGAGAGTGCCTCATCACGGATACTCTGACGAGCAGATCCTGAGCATCTTCTATGATGGAGTCAACTGGGACTACAGAACGCTTTGAACGCAGCCAGCAATGGCGATTTCATGACGAAGTCCAAGGAAGGTGCATTCGAGCTGATCGAGAATCTTGCAGCGAGCTCGAGCAACAAGAACGCTGAGTACGACAGAACAGTGAGCACTGTATCTGTCAAAGGAAGCAGTGCTGACGCGAAGAAGATTGAGGAGCTCACTGGAAGGTGAATCTATTGATGAAGGCGCAGCAGAAGTCTGTTCATTTTGTTGACGAGAAATGATGCACCTATCTCTCAAGAGTTTGGAGGAGAAGGACGAAGATGATCAGATGGAGGTCAACTATGTGAATGGGCAACCTTTTGTGCAGAACCGTGGTTTCAACTCGAACTACAGAAACCATCCGAACATGTCCTACAGGAGCACCAACGTCGAGAACCCTCAGGATCAGGTCTATCCGCCTCGATCGAACCAGAACCAGCAGAGTTATCAGAAGAGCTATCCTAACAGCTTCCAGGAGAAGACCTTTTGCCCCAAACCAGAATCGTTCTCAAGGTAACCAACAGAAGGCGCAGTTCAGCAATCAGCAACAACCTTCAGGTTCATCGAACAACTCGAACGATGAGCTTAAGGGTATGATGCAGCAGATGTTGATGAACCAGCAGAAGTCCACTGCGGAGACACACTTGAAGATAGACACCATGTACAACGATCTGAATGGGAAGTACGAAGCTGTGTGGACTCACGTGAAGAAGCTGGATGTCCAAGTAGCTCAAACCGCTGAAGCTGTGAAGAGACCTCAGGAACCCTTCCTGGGAAAGGAGAGCAAACCCCAGGAATGAGTATGTTGCACAAGTTGAGCTGAGAAGTGGAAGGAAGCTACAACCTGCTGTGATTCCTCTGAAAAGGGCAGGCAAGGAGAAAGCCGACGAGAACCGGAAGATGTGACTGAAGTCGATCGAGCTGGTGATGACGCTCGTCGTCTCAGAACCCATTCTGACCTACCTACTCCTGCAGCTGCAGAGACTGCTCCAGCCAGAGCTTACACACCTAAGGTGCCTTACCCTGTTCCACGGAAGAAGTCCAGTTGGAGGATAAGGAGATGCTGAAGGACTTGACTGTGAAGCTGCCTCTGTCTGATGCTGTTCAGATGATTCCTGCTCTGAAGAAGTACATGAAGGAGCTGATATCTGGGAAAGTAGCTGAGGATGAGAACGTCATGCTAGTGTCGGAGGAGTGCAGCGCTGTGCTGCAGAACAAGGTGATCAAGAAGAGGAGCGATCCAGGAAGATTTGTCTTGTCAGTGCAGATAGGCCATGACCTTCGCATGCTCTCTTTGCGATCTTGGCTCGAGCGTGAACTGATGCCGTATTCTGTGGCCAAGCGATTGGGATACACAAGTTCAAACCCACGAAAGTCTCCTTGGTTTTCGCTGACAGATCGACAAGTTCCCAGTCGGTATACTTGAGGATCTACATGTGCAGATAGGGAACACACTCATTCCAGCAGACTTTGTAGTCCTCGAGCTCGACGAAGAGCCTAAGGATCCGCTCATCCTAGGGCGAAACTTCCTATGCACAGCTGGTGCAATCATTGACGTGAAGGGAGGAATCATTGATCTCCATCTGGGAGATATCGTCATGAGGTTCGAGATGAACAAACTCCTCAAGAAGCCAATGTTAGATGGGCAAACTTATGTGATTGAAGATGGCTCAAACTTGGTGGACGAAGTGAGTGAGGAGATGCTTCTTGACGACCCTCTGGAGGTAGCTTTGACTAAAGCTGAAGGCGAGTATGATTTCCTGAATGAGGAAGCCGATGGCTTCGGGAAATGATGGATGCGAGCGGCAAGATGGAGAGACTGGTGGCGTTCATGAGCTTGGAGGATCGATCGAAGCATGCCAGATCGATCGAATGCACCTCAGGAGAGTCCCGTCAACAGCCCTTGGAGCGAGTCGAGTGCACCTAAGCTCGAGCTGAAAACACTCCCTGCGGGGCTCAGGTATGCATTTCTGGGACCTAACTCTACATACCCTGTGATAGTGAATGCTGAGCTGAACAATGTTGAACTTGCTTTGCTTCTCTGTGAGCTTAGGAAGTATAGAAAAGCTATAGGGTATTCGCTAGATGACATCCCTGGAATTTCTCCTGATCTTTGCATGCATAGAATACATCTAGAAGATGAATCGATGACTTCTGTAGAACATCAGAGGAGGTTAAACCCGAATCTAAAAGATGTTGTCAAGAAAGAGATAATGAAACTTCTAGATGCTGGTGTAATTTATGCTATATCTGATAGTAAGTGGGTCAGTCCTGTGCATGTAGTTCCTAAGAAAGGTGGTATAACTGTTGTTAAGAATGATAGGAATGAGCTGATACCCACTAGAACTGTCACTGGTCATCGCATGTGCATTGATTACCGCAAACTGAATGCTGCAACTCGCAAAGATCATTTTCCTCTCCCATTTATTGATCAAATGCTTGAGAGATTGGCTAACCATCCATACTACTGCTTTTTAGATGGTTACTCAGGTTTCTTTCAGATCCCCATCCACCCAGACGACCAGGAGAAGACGACATTCACATGTCCATATGGCACTTATGCTTATCGCAGAATGCCGTTTGGACTGTGCAATGCACCGGCCACGTTCCAGCGCTGCATGATGTCTATTTTCACTGACCTTATTGAGGACATAATGGAAGTTTTCATGGACGACTTTTCCGTCTATGGAAGCTCCTTTGCTGTGTGTTTGTCTAATCTGTGCAGGGTATTGCAGCGGTGTGAGGAGAGACATCTTGTGCTGAACTGGGAGAAATGCCACTTCATGGTGAGAGATGGGATCGTGCTGGGACATAGGATTTCAGAGAAGGGAATCGAGGTCGACAGAGCGAAGATCGAGGTGATGATGAGTCTACAGCCGCCTAATTCTGTCAAGGGAATCCGCAGCTTTCTGGGGCATGCAGGGTTCTATAGGCGGTTCATCAAGGACTTCTCCAAGATCACCAGACCTTTGACGCAGCTGTTGTGTAAGGAGGTCAAGTTCGACTTTGACAGTACATGCTTGGAGGCCTTTCACACGATCAAGGGAGCTCTGGTGAGTGCTCCAATTGTCCAACCTCCTGACTGGAACCTTCCGTTCGAGGTCATGACAGATGCTAGTGACTATGCTGTCGGAGCGGTTCTGGGCCAGAGAAAGGAGAAGAAGCTGCACGTGATCTACTACGCCAGTCGCACACTTGATGAAGCTCAGTGCAAGTACGCTACGACTGAGAAAGAACTATTGGCGGTGGTGTTTGCATTTGAGAAGTTTCGGTCCTATCTTGTTGGATCGAAGGTGATTGTCCATACTGATCACGCTGCCTTGAAGTACTTGCTGACGAAGAAGGATGCGAAGCCGAGACTCTTGAGATGGATTCTTTTGCTTCAGGAGTTCGATCTGGAGATCAAGGATAAGAAAGGGATTGACAATGGTGTAGCTGATCACCTGTCAAGGATGAAGATCGATGATGACGTCCCTCTAGACGACAGCCTACCTGATGAGCACGTCTACGCTGTTGAGGTGATCGATTACGGCGAGCCCCTGCTCGCAGATGATGGAGTTCGATCGAATGCAGAGAAGAGATCGATCGAATGGATGACGGAGATCGTACTTGAGCTGTAACGCCGTTGACCGTCCAGTTTCCCATGGTTTGGAGAGATAGCGAATTACCTCGCTGCTGAGCATGAACCTACTGGTTTGTAGGGAACAAGAAGAAGAAGTTCTAGAGACATCAGGCGCTATTTCTGGGATGAGCCATACCTGTACAAGCACTGCACCGATGGAGTCTACAGGAGATGTGTAGCTGATGAGGAGATACCTGGGATCTTGTTCCACTGTCATAGCTCGTCTTATGCTGGACACTTCGCCACGTACAAGACTGTATCCAAGGCGCTGCAAGCTGGCTACTGGTGGCCCACCATGTTCCGAGATGCACACAGATTCGTGTCTAAGTGTGATGTATGCCAGAGACAGGGGAACATCAGTAAGAGAAACGAGATGCCACAGAACTTCATTCTGGAAGTAGAGGTTTTCGACGTGTGGGGAGTTGACTTCATGGGACCCTTCCCATCTTCCTATGGAAACCTGTACATTTTGGTGGCTGTCGACTATGTATCTAAGTGGGTAGAGGCTTTGGCCAGTCCCACTAATGATGCAAAGGTCGTGATGAAGATGTTCAAGTCGGTGATCTTCCCTCGATTTGGTGTGCCAAGAGTTGTTATCAGTGATGGAGGTTCCATTTCATCAATAGGACCTTCGATAATATGTTGAAGAGGCACGGGGTGAAGCACAAGGTGGCGACTCCTTATCATCCCCAGACGAGTGGCCAAGTCGAGCTATCTAACAGAGAGATCAAGAACATCCTTCAGAAGACTGCAGGCACGACTGGGAAGGACTGGGCTGCAAAGTTGGATGATGCACTCTGGGCCTATCGAACTGCCTACAAGACTCCTCTTGGTACGACACCGTTCAACCTAGTCTATGGCAAGGCTTGTCACCTGCCTGTGGAGCTAGAGTACAAGGCTGCGTGGGCAGTGAAGCAGATGAACTATGACATGAAGTCTGCGGCAGAGAGGAGGAACATGCAGTTGGTCGAGCTTGACGAGATTAGGCACCTGGCCTATGACAGTTCGAAGATCTACAAGGAGCGGACTAAAGCTTACCACGACAAGAAGATCCTGAAAAGGAACTTTTCCCAAGGAGATCAAGTCCTGCTGTTTAACTCCAGGCTGAAGTTGTTTCCTGGAAAGCTGAAATCAAGGTGGTCTGGGCCCTTCGTTATCAAGGAAGTCAGACCATATGGAGCTTTTGAGCTATGGGACAAGTCTGGTGGACACTTCGTGGTGAACGGTCAACGCCTCAAGCCATACCTTGCTGATACCGACATCACAGAGAGGGAATCTCTTCCTCTCAGTGATCCATCTCCTGCCTAATAGGCATTCAAGTCAAGCTAGTGACTTAAACCAAGCGCTTGGTGGGAGGCAACCCACTGGTAAGTGTACATACTCTCTTTTCAATTTGATTTCCTGCTAATTCTGTTTTCTTTGTTTTGAAAAAAAAAAAAAAAAAAAAAAAAAATCAGGAAACGAATCGGGTTGGCCCGCCCACCCGCCCGTCGACCGCTGGGCCCACCACCAGGTAAGTGAATCTTTCCCTTATCTCTCCACCACCACTCATTTTCTCACCACTCAATCTCTCCCTTGTAACCACACGAATTTCACTCCACCTCACATTACTCTCTCTTGTTCACCACGTCCCGACCATCTCCTTCATCTCTCATCACTTCCCTCACGATCACACTTCACTCAAGCCATACTCTCTCTTTCATCTCTCTCACCACACACACACCATTCACTAGCTTAACTTCACACACACGATCGACTCTCTCTTCAACTCACTTTATAATTTTGAATCTTTTCGTCTGCACCTCGTTATCTACATCTCTCTTGCTCACACCATGAGAAGCAGCAAGTATGATTTCGAATTCAATGGACCCTTTTGTGATTTTGAGAGAATCGATCGGTTTATGTGAATGTTGACTGTTTTAAATCGTGTTCGGTTGAGCAATTATTCTTTGTTTAGAACTGATGGAACCGATCGAATTGCTACTGTTTACTTAGAGGAGGTCGATTGTTGTTTGGACTTGAAAGTTCTTGATCATTTTGAAGAAACCTGTTCTACAACTCGACGGGTTCGATCGATTGCTTATAGAGGTCGATCGACTGCTGAAATGAGCTTGTGTTAAATCGATTGAGCTTTGTCGAGTTACTTATGCCGGGCTGACTTGTTCCCTCAGTTGGTGGATTTCAGGAACATAGACGCTTACTCGCGCCGGCGAGAAGAGATAGCGAGAGGGAACAGGCCCGTTGACTTTGACGATGACTTTGTGGAGGACGAGAATATGGAGGATGCCCCGTTTTCCGAGCCCACCCGAGATGAGGAACCTATTGATACGACGACGGAAGCAGAGATGAACCTCCTCCGAACATTTCTCGACATGAAGTTCGGCGGGACGAAGTACGCCGACCAAGACACCATGGAGACGCTCCGTATCGCAGACGATGTCGATGAGATGTTCAACAATCTCGGGATCGGGGCACTTATGTACACGCGGCACGAGTCTTACCGGAATGCGTCATGCCTTTTCCTCGCCACACTCGCCGACAATCTCTGTCCCGACGGCAAATACACATCTGACGGGAGCGATGGCTACATCAGCTTTTGGGCCACGGGACGGAGGCACCAATTCTCTTACAGAAAGATCGATCGAGCACTCTCTCTACCGCTGAGCAACCGCCACGGTCTTGATGTTGACAAAGACGAGATAACGGCTCTGTGGGGGACGATCGCGTTTGGGGACTACATCTCCTCAACCGCGAAGTCTTCTCACATCCGGAGCCCACCGATTCGCTACTTCCAGAAGGCCATCGCCAACACACTCTTCTCGAGACATGCGACCGGGAACGTGACAGAGAACGAGATGAGCATGATCGATGTGGCACTCACAGGCATCCCGCTGAGGCTGAACAACGGGACACAACTCAGAGGCAGTAGAGCACATGGAGGTATCACATGCATCCCGCTGCTGTGAACCAGCTTCGCTCTTACCAGGACTGGGCGTCGAGAAACAGAGACATCCGGCACAAGTGCGCGCTACGGATGGGCGACTTGATCATACCTCTCCTACGCGCAGTATGTTTTGCGCCTGATATGGCGGAGGACGTCACACCCCCGGAGGAGCTCGACCTCGATTACCTGAAGAACAGCGTCTTCCTGCAGAAGACGCCAGACGATGGACCGCTTCTCTATCAGTTCGTTCATCTTCAGTTCGACGCCTCTCGGATGTTGCTCCCTAGCCCCACCTGGACCACGATCAGAGGAGGGTCCAACGTCGAGTTCAACCCGCCTCAGTCAGCGCTTTACACGCCTTCTCGCTCGACCACACCTCCGGCGACCACGCAGCGCTACGATCAGTCTCTGGCGGACGAGACTATGGCTGTGGATGAGCTTTTCCATTTCTATTTCCCGGAGTACACCACCATGCCAGACAGAGCACCGGACTGAAGGCGGCTCACAAGCGCATCAGCCTCCTCCAGCGGTAGAACAGGACGCATGACAAGATTACCAAAAAGCTCAAGAACAAGATGAAGAAAATGGCTGATCAGATCAGAGCCATGCAAGACAAGTTGAGTTGTGTTGCCTCAGCATCAGGAGGAGTACAGAGGACCGCAGTCGTCCCACGACCAGTGGATCTCTCCGAGGACGAGCCTCACCACGACACCATTGGCGGTCGGCCACCGCCTCCTGACCAGCCACGTCATTCCTCCTTCGAGCCGCGACAGCATCGGAAGAAGCGCCACCGAGACCACCACACCGCGAGATCATCCGACGCACAAGCTGACGCGGACTTGCCATTCAGGCGATGCAGCTCTGTTTCGAGACAGACGGCGCTGACGGATCATCACACTCCGCCGACGAGAGCTCCACCGGACCAGTACAACACGGAGTGAGTTGCACCTTCGACCGCCCCTCCGTACACACAGGAGAGCATGCAAGACGATCTCGACGCGATCATTCACGGCCGCCGTTGATGCTCCTTCCCGACTCCACTCGCCCAACCACCACCACTGTATTATTCCATTTTCCCTTTTCTTTTTCTTTTATTGAGTCTGTTTAACTCTCTCTTAGATTTATTTTCACACCGGGTCGGTGCGAAGTAAGTCCGGGGGAGGGTCTTTGTGTTTACTAACGTCATTTTGTTTCTTTTGTTTTGTGTTTCACCTTGAGTCATTTTGATGTTTTCTTTGAGTCATGTTTTATTGAGTCAAAAAAACTTGTTGAGAATAATGAACTTATCTGATAATGTTTTGCAACCACTTATGCTCTTGAATTCTTTCTATCTAGTGACCAATTGTGCAAGGTTTGTTATGTGTAAAAAGCTGGATTACCCTTTTGGTCAGACTTCCCCCAGGAATTTTCGTTTTGCAGAGATTTTGGTGAAACATCTTGTTGACTCTAATGATATTCGACCACTAATCTGACTTCAATTACTTCTCATTCGGAATGTCATAGCAGGGAAATGGATCATACACTCAGGACTTCTTATTCATTCTACCACTCTCTGTTGATCCTGAGTGGCTAGCCCATTTTTGGTTGGTTTCCCACCTTGAACCTTACCTCCTTTCTGACTTCATGCACTCTGTTCTTCTATGTCATATATGCAGATATGTGCAAAAACGTCGGAGAGAAAGGTTCGACACAGCTTCTCAACCACATTCAAGACGAGTGTTCATCTATAACACTGAGAATGGGAAGTGATGGTGGAGTATGGAGCTTAGATCGATCGAACTGATGGTCATTCCTTGGAGAAACACGATTACACGGCAACACTTACGAGCTCATTGACACTATAAGGAGTTGAAGAGTGAAGTGGTTGGGAAATGTGGCTATCAACAGAACCATTCTCTCTTGTTGTTTTGCGCGATAACATGCATCCTCCGGCGTATCTGGTAACCCTTAAACACTTTAAACTCACCGAGACAGGCCTTTTGATACCCAACACCGTCGACCCTGTATGATATTCTTGATGAGAGGTCCACGCCAAATCTTAATGAATGTAGAGAGTTAACCAATGTGTAGCTAGAGTTTCTGCAGGATGGAGGTTCATCAAGGGATCAGGAATGCAAGGCTTCAAGGGGACTACAGTGATTATGCACTGACCGAACCTTGTTCATTGAGGTCTACTGATTTTCCTTCGGGTATGGTTGCTGATGATTTGTGAGTTCCCGCGTTTTCAAACTTCTTCTCTATTCTTGGAATTTATGTTTGCTTGAGGGCAAGCAAAAGACTAAGTCCGGGGGAGTTGATATCTTGCGTATTTGACGCATTCTAACCTTGTTTTCACGAGTTTTATCGAGTCTTTCTAGTCTTTATCGAGTCTTTTCAGGTCTAAAGACGTTCAGGGAGAGCTTTGGTCACATGGACCAACAAGAGGAGAAAGCAGGCAAAACGGAGCCCAAAGGAGCTCGATCGTGTCACCTCAAAGTCGATCGACTCAGTCTCAGAGATCGATCGACTCATCTTCACACCACAAGCTCGATCGATCCCATGCAAGCGAACCAGCTCGATCGATCTCGTTCGGTCTCAGCCGTCGATCGATCCCGTTCGGTCTCAGCCGTTCGATCCGTCCCGCTCAGATGATATCACAGCCGTTCGATCTACTTGGTGCAAACCGACTCGATCGAACCGTAGCGAACCGGATTGAACCGAAGCTCGACCCCGAGCTATTTAGACCTACTTTAGCCATTGTTTAGGCTACGCCGTTTTTCAGAGTTTTTCACTGTTTCTGAGGGAGAAGAGATCGAACCTCTGTTTTCACAGTTTGGAGAAGATTTCTGAACCCTTTGTTTGCTATTTTCGTATTTGATTCAATGACTTTCATTTCAGTTATTGTTATCTGTTTCTCCATGTCTGAGTAGTCTTCCTGCTAGATCTAGGTTTTTCAAAGGGATTCATGTGTTAACTAAACTGAATACAGATAGGGCTATCATACTGTCTTCGCCATTGTTGCATTATTGCTTAGATCGATTGATCACTCGATCTCTGATCTCAGATTTACCTGTTCATCAAAAGTGCAATAGGTTGTTAGAACGAACTGTGGTGAGCGAATCGTCCTTAGCCTGCGAAAGTTGATGCTAAGGCGATTTGTGAACTTATCGAACCTGTGCGTATTGCTTTCTTTCATTGCTAGATTCAAACGACAGTTTAGACATCTAGGTTGTTAGCAAAGTTGTTAATATCGCGACAGTGAATTGACATACTGTTTTGTTTGAGTTCGAGACCTGTTCTTTATTTGTGCCCTGAATAGTTGTTTGGTTGTTAACCGTGAATCTCCTGCGAATTGCCTTGGTCTAGTGCCTGTTTTATTTGAATTACATCAACGTTTACATTCTGTCACTTGTTACCAAATCAATCTTTCTTGTCTTAGCTCTGTTTTGAATCTCCTAGATTCATAGTGGTCCTCTGGATTTCGAATCCTTTATATTACAATCTTCATCACTGTATATTTGCAGTAGAGAAAATGATCTATTTTTAGACTATCACGTTCCGAATCCCAGGATAAAACTGCATATTTCTTATGTTTGCATCACTCAAATCATAAGCTTGTGAACCATGTTTTCTGTGTTGTACTCTCATAAGAAAAACAAATAAAAAAAGAATAGAAGTAAGGAATTGTTTTCTTGTTGTTTGATAACATGTTTGTTTGTTGAGAAACAACAATGGCGTTCCGAATCCCAGGATAAAACTGCATACTTTTTATATTTACATCACTCAAATCATAAGCTTGTGAACCATATTTTCTGTGTTGTACTCTCATAAGAAAAACAAATAAAGAAAGAAGAGAAGTGAGAAATTGTTTTTTTGTTGTTGTTTGATAACATGTTTGTTGAGAAACAACAATGGCTTGACTAAATTGCCATCATAATACCAAATTGATTTTGATGTTATAAAATTCATCATTAATTTTGTAGTTACAAAATTCATCATTAATTTTGTAGTTACAAAATTCAATTCAAGAAGATACTTTTGTTGACTTAATCAACAACAATATTCAACAATAGAATTTTTGGTCAAAAAGAATAATCTTATGAACCTTGGCCTGACCGCCAATTCCAAGGTCCGAAACATAGTACAGCTTGGTTATCTTTTTTTTCTAATATACCAAAGTGTATACAAGTTTTTAAATCTTGTTTTAAATTTTCCACTTTATATACATGAAGATTTAACTTCATGGATATTATTATAAATGTTACATTTTATGCTATACAAGCAACCCACTTGAGACTTCCATTTCTCATTCAAACCAACCTCATTTTGACATATCAAAAATGAGTTCTAACAGTTGATTCATGTGTTTGGTTAGGCCTTGATTTTAGGAATTTAAGGGGTTTACATAGCTGAACTGGCCTCTTGTTCATGTAGTTTATGTCTTTAAGAGATTAAATTTGAAGTTGGGTTAAGTATCTTATAGCTGTATATATGATAAATCAAGAGTGTTATACTGTTATTGGTGGACTCATGTGTTTTGCTTAGGCCTTGATTTTGGGGATTTTTGGGATTCTTGGGGTTTATAGAGCTGATTGACCACTCGTTCATGGATTTTATGTTCTTGAGAGATGAAATTTGATATTGCTGGATAAGTGATGATGATGATCTTTCTGAACACCTTATTTCACTTATTATGAAACAGAGGCAGTAATTAAGAGTTCCTTTTCCTATTTCTCTTTGGTGTTCCGTCAATTTTAACACCTATAAAACGAAACGAAGATAAAAAAAACAGATCGAAACCGTAAATAAAGATTAAAAAAAGAAAGACAAGCTTTGAGTCGATATGATGTCTTATACCGAAGAGCCAGCGCACAAGACGAAGAAGATGGAGCTCTCTCCGTCGTCGTCTCTGTTGTCGTCGCTGCCAGATGACGTGGCTATGAACTGCCTGGCTCGAGTCTCGAGATTGGAGCACGCCTCCTTATCTATGGCCTCCAAGAGTTACCGATCTCTAGTGGCTTCCCCTGACCTCTACAAGACCCGATCGCTCATGGGTCGCACCGAAACATACACGTACGTATGCTTACGAACCCCTCCTCCGAACCCATCCCCACGCTGGTATATACTCCGCCGTAAAAACGGCTCCTCCGATCTGATGCCAATCCCCGGGCTCCCCACTCAGGCTCCGGAAGCATCCTCCGTGGCGGTGCTGGGTTGGGGGATCTATGTGATGGGTGGGTTGATAGAGGGGAAGCCCACTTCCGATGTGTGGCTCTTAGACTGTCGGACTCACAAGTGGCGCCGCGTCCCCTCCATGGGAGTGGCTCGAGCTGAAGCGGCTGTTGGCGTCATAGGCGGGAAGATTTATGTGTTAGGCGGGTGCAAGTACGATGATCGTTCGTTGAGCTGGGGAGAGGTCTTCGACCCAATGACCCAAACTTGGGACGCTCTGCCGCCGATGCCGGTTCAGAGGAAACACGATGAGCATATCCACTGCAGTGTGGTGAGGGATCAAGAGATTTACGGAGTGGTTGAAACGGATAGAACCTTTTACTACTCAGCGAGTGAAGGTAAATGGGGAAGAGGGAACCGTGTGGAAGCGATGGGAAACAGAAGAGACTTTTGCATGATTGATGGTTTGCTCTACTGTATTTTCTTGGACGGGACGATCTTTTGGTCTGAGGCAGATGAGTTGGATCGGCGTGAGCCAGAGGGGATGGTTTCGAAGCAGGTCAAGGGTTTACTGTGTCTCAAGGAGAGTCTTGCTCGTTCCAGGCTGGTCCACTTTGGTGACCACTTTTTGGATCGGTGGGACCAAAACAGGATCAAGTTTGGCTTCACCCAAAGGAGTGGTAAAAGCCACGAGTTGGAAGATTTACTTTCCGGGGACAGACTGAGGAGCTCTGGTCGGAACATGCTGCTCTTCTGGGACGTGGTCGAGGGTGGCCGTCTTGAGATTTGGTGTGCGGAGATCTCCTTGGAGAGACTACGCCAAGGAGGCAATGTTTGGGGTAATACCGAGTGGTCTAGTGCTGTCTTGACCCTTGATCCTTTCTTAGGTCGCTACAAGGTTTTGCATTCTGTTTCTGTCACTCTCTGAAACTCTGTCTTACTTCAGTTTGAAGAGTCTTGCGGAACAAGGAATCGTTAAAGTGATGATTGACATTCTCAACTGAGGAATCTTGTTGGGGTCTAAAGAAAGCAGGAGAGGCTTCAATCCGAGCTTGCTTACTTGGATGGACTCTGCTTGTTGAAAGAAGTAATCTTACTTCTCTTATTATTTCTTTGCTTAGATACAATCCTGCAGCTTTTTATTTTTCACCAACCAGTTTAGTTTTTATTGAACTTAGTAATAGTAAATATCAGAATAGCCTTATCATTCTTGCATAGTGTCTATATGATTTGAAAGATTGATCTCGTCAATAGCATTAGTATATATCCTCATCCGGGTTTGATTTTTCATACTGCGATATAGCTACCAAGATTAGCTACAGAGTGTCACTGACTCACTGTGGAGCACGAATCAAATGCTTACTTTGCATCACTATTTTGTGTATGTCTCTGAGCTTGTTTTGTTGTGTCTTCAGAAACTTATAGAAGCAAAGAGACACTTGGCGCGTTTAAGAACAAAGAGGGCTAAGTAATGGTTTTGAAGATAAGTAAAACGCTGGTTTAGTTGAATCTTCAGGGAGAGGAAAGCGGCGTTTAGTAAAGAAACGGTCTCTTCGGGTTTGTTGAATTTTTTCTCATCATCCTCCGGTTTTCTCTTTGCGCCATTTATCTGCTCTTAAACTCCTGAGATCGAATGGCTCAGAAGATAGAGAACCGAAAGATGATGAGTCAAACTTCAACAAAACCGAAGAGGCAGAAGCAACTAAGAAGGTTTTATGGCGCAGGTTGCTTGTATATCATATGATGGACCGACTTTTGTTCCACTAGAGGCATTCTTACTTGTGACCACAGGTTTTGTTAAAGTTATCTTCTCTTCTTGACTAAAACCTTTCTAAATTAGCTCCTATACAAAAATCCGGATATTGTCATATGATTCAACAACTATGAGATATATCTTGCAAGTTTTCAGAAAGAAAGAGCACAACATGTCCATTGTGCAAGTCCTGTTTCATAACCATCAAAAGGATTGAAGTGCCTTGATCTCTCTCCGTCACTTCTCCCAAGCTATATGCTTCGTAGCCGCTACAGACATGTGTTCTCCGAGGCGAGCCCTGCATTCACATTTCAGCCACAGACTATGGAGGCAATTGTTAACAAGATTTGATGAATTTTGCAAACCAATCTTGTTCTATATCTTACTTGTTGAGTTTTGTGAATTATAAAAGAAAATGTGAATGCAGTGCTTCTTCAGCTTGTGGAAGTTCCTCATGGCGGAATGTAAATAACAACAAACAAACTCTCACTTATACAAATGGTCTCTTGAACGTACAGTACAAACTCTTACTTATGATTTATTCTTTGGCTTTGGTTTTCTTTCTTAATGATATTTTGGTTTGTACGTTGATTAGACATTATGAGTTTGACAAGTAGCATTTCTTCAAGCAGATTGAGAATATCGATCGATTCCATAATTTTGACTCACAGATGCAACATAAACAAAAGGAAGCTAAAACCCTCAAAATCATTGGAACAGAATAAAACGAGAAATTTCAAATTAAATATATTGAATTATAGAGATCGCAACTTAAAAATCTATATAATCGTTTAGTTTCTCCTATTGAATCTCTGCTAATCAAGAATAGTTTCTAGTCTGAATTTCCCCTCTCTCTCTCTCTCTTTGAATCAAACCATAACAGCTAGACATTTCACAATATAAACACTCTCCGCAATCTCAACCTCATCACACCACTCAACTTTACCCCAAATCTCCCTTTGTTGGTTTCTTTCCAAGGAAATCTCCGCAAAATAAGTCACTCCCACGTAAGTGTCTTCATCATGGAACAAAAAAAGTTTTCCACCGTAACTCGCAGTCTTCCACCACCCGCAAACTCTCTCCGTGTGGGTAGCCAAAAACTCCTCAACACCATTCACCACTCCCCAACACTTCTTCTCCGAATCATACGTTTTTAACTCGTTCTCCACGACATCGTAATAGTACAAAACATCATCAACCACGCAAGCATCCTCCCACTCTTTAGCATTTACCATCTCGTCTGTGTCCCGTTTGCTTCCCTTTGGCTCGTAAATAAAGCTATTCTCACCATCCCTAAAGTACATCTTACCACTCATCACCACACATTCACACCACATGTCAACCTCAATGTCAATCTTTATCGTCTCGGGCTCCCATGTTTGTGTTTCTGTATTGAACACAACCATCACATAATTCACATTCTCCTCCGAGTCCAAATCCATAATATACCCAATCACGTAGATTCTCCCGTCGATGATTTTAGCAATCGAAACATTCATGACCACAGGCATGCTGGGGAGGGGTTGCGCTGTGTGAGATATACAGTCGATGATTAACCCACTTGATGATGTCACAGAGTTGAACACATATATCTTCGAGCCCATCGCCACGTAGCTACCATATCGAGGCATAGTGGGCAGTGAGGGGATAAGGAACAAGTGTTGATTGCCGTTAGGTTTCCGGCTGAGAATATACAACTGGCCACCAACACGGTTCTTCCTGTTACAGAGGATAACATAGACACAATTTTCCGTACAGCCTAACAAAGATCGTCTCGCGTATATCTCACGGGACGCAACGAGAGACCTGAAGTGTTTTGAAACGAGGGAGAGTGTTGGATAGTTGCATCTCGGTACACGCGCTAAGATGTCGACGATGACGTATTCGGGAAGTGATGTCATCAAACACGGCGGTGGTTCCGACGATTGCTCTTTCTCTGCCATGATTTTGGATGACATGTGTAAGACATTAGGCGCAAAATCCTAATTAGTCCTTTGTATTGTAGGCACAATAGCGACATGTGGCAAGTCTATCGATAAAATACATTTACAACATATTTCCAAAAAAAAGTAAGAAACTTTATAAATTAACACTCGAAATTAATAGTCACAATAACTTAATAATTTTTTCTGGTCTCGAAATGGGCCAAAGTAAAGTAAAATATGATAAAATTCGATAATATAATAAGATAGCCATTTTTTAAAAAAACTCCTATATAAAATATAATCACAATAATATCATAAATTAAAATAATTATCATATAAAGATTTATAAATATATACTAGATTAAGACCCGCGTATACGCGGGTTTATTTTAAGATTTTGTAATAAAATCATGGAAAAGTATTAAACCAAATTTGATCATTTTAAAGTAAACAGAATAATATTAAAAACCCGATAAAAATATTTAAATAAAATAAGATCGGTAACCTTTTTACGTTTTTATTGTAATTGATAATTTTTTTTGAATTCATGATATAAAAATGAATTAATTTGTTTTATTTTTATTTTTATCCAATATAGAAAGACTTATATATGTCTAAATATGATCAACTGATTAATTAATTCAACAAAACTTTATTATTCCATTCAAGAGATTTCAATTGATGAAATCTTTATTTAATAATTTTTTACCAAACAATATTGAAAATTAAACTATTTAAAATTAGAATATCGGTTCATTATATTTTCTTAATATTAGTTAGTTGCTTGATGATGTCAAAAAAAAAAGTTATTGCTTGATAATTAATTTGTTAGTTTTCTATTTATATTGTTTCTTTCTCAATTTTGTTTTTGACTCAGACCATTATAAATTTTCATTTTCATTATTAGTTAGTTTTTTTTTTAATTATTTTTTCTAGTTTTTATATATGTTAACATTTTTCCAATTAACATGGGTTCACCGGATCAAATACATGTAATGACAATAATTTTGATTTTTATCCAACTGATATAGAGTTAGATACATGTATCGACAATAATTTTGATTTCTATCCAACTAATATAGAATACTTTAACTCTCTTTTTATAGGGGTTCATGTAACTTATTCCATGCAGTTATAGGAAATTTAGTTTACCTAACCTATTTCATGTACTAATAGGATTTTATTTATTTCATTAATTTGAATATTATATGTGTTTGGATAATATAAATTTGATGAATGGGAAACCTTTTTCTATTAGGATATGAAATTTTTTTTTTTTTAACTATAAAAGATTAAAATTTCATTTTTTTTCCTTTATCTATTTTTTTTAATTATTATTTTTTTTTCTAAGACACATGTCACGATCTTAACGGACATAACATTAAAAGTGACACATGTCGCAGTCCTAAATTTTATAAAAATCCTACGTGTCGCAACCACGTCGCGCGCATCCAGCTTTATATAATAAGATATATATATATATATATATAACTAGATTAACCTAATATATAAATTTAATATTGTTTATTTTTTTCTTAAAGTTGAATTCCTTTTGAATTTAATCTCTAATTTTTCTTATTGAATCAAAAATTCACATTGTTGTATTTTCGAACTGCATCCATAAATTATAAATAGTTTGAAACACAATAATTGTCTTTTTACGCATAACTCCATTTAAAGAAATAATAACAAAATGAAAAAAAAAATGTAAAGTAAATACATAAAATATAAGTGAGAAAATGTTTAAAAAAAAACATATCTTTAAAGGGACATTCTTTTATTTAATATAATTGAAAACTGAAAAGTTTCATATCTTTAATTTTTAGTCAAAATCTTTAAATTAGTAATTATAAATTAGTAAAATATCAAAATCTTGAAATTGTATTCAAAGTTTCTAGAGTTTCTACTATGTATTCAATTTATTAATTTATAGAGTTTCTATTATGTATATTCAAAGTTGTGAGACTACAACTTACCCAAAAAATAAAAAGTTGTGTGACTACAAATTTATCCCGCGGCTACATCCCAAATTCACCAAAGTGGCACCGGGAATTAGTCCCGCGCCCAGACAACACAACACTATCCCGCCATATTAAATTGATAGCCAGGGTTTTAATTTGCATTTCCTTTTTGTTGGGTTTTTATGTGAAAGAAAAAGTTACCTGAGGTTTGTTTTGCAGTTTTCCCATACTTTGCCAACAATAAACACTTCCCTGCAGAGCGAGACAAACACCACTATTTCCATTTTCAGTTTTTTTTTTTGGCTTTTTCAAAATTTCTCATCTCTCTCCTCTCTCTCTTACTCTCTGAGACTACTGTGACCAACTGAATCACGTTCTTCTCTTCACGCCTCCGCGAAAATGGTGAGAAGAGGACGCCGATCATCAATTTTTCTTCTCCGCTATCTTCTCTTAGTCTGGGCATTTTCGCCCTGTTCATGTTCTCTCAGTCTGACTTTAGTGTTGCTTTTTTTTTCCCCTCTCTCAGGTAGTCGCTCAGAAGCTCAAGGAAGCTGAGATCACCGAACAGGATTCGCTCCTTCTGGTGAGCGACGCCTTCATCGAGCTTCCATTTTTGTTTCCTTAAGGATTCGTGAAATTTCTCCGTTCCTTCATGTTGATTTTCGCCGATATTAATCTGGGTTTAGTTTACGTATCTCATCTGGAGATGGATT